CAAAGGCCCATCCAGTCCAACACTCTGTGTCACACAGTGGCCTGTGTTACACAGTGTCACACAGATCGACGTCGTGCATCACTTCTGGTAATGTGCTGGTGGCGGCACGCGCACGCACATCAACACACGGCTCCCAGAGCCCGGCGAGGCTCCCCCGCTGGTAAGAAAAATTGACTTGGCAACCCTAGAGCCACTCCAATTAAACTTTGTGACATTTGGGGAAGGGGGAATGAAGAAGTCCATCTCAGCCCCCTCACACTTTGTGTTGTTGTTTTTTTTCTTCCCTGCCTCCCAACCAGGTCTCGGTCTGTCCTGAAAACTTGGCCACGATAAACAAGCAATTTATGAAGGAGGACATTTCCAAGAGAACAAATGCCAGTCCGCCCGTTTATCACTGGCGCAATTTCCTGCCTGAACTGAGGGCAACCAGGCCAATGGAGGCATAATTGCTCTGGCGTCCTACCAAAGAGAGATATCTCGGGTAACCCCCCCCCACACACACACACTGCCTTCCCACCTACTCCCCATTCTTCTTCTGCCACTGAACTAACTGTGTGGGTGGAGGGACGGCATTGGAGAACTGAATCTGCAGTCTGATTTCCTGAGGCAAACAGAGGAGAGGACCACAGTGTCGACAGACAAGATAAAAGACAGGGGGGAATGGAGGTACGACAGCTATTTGGGAAATTGGGAATGTCTTCAGACTTTTTCATTTGGAATGAGAGAAATGCTTTGTAAGTAACGTTGCCAGCTCTGAGTAGGGAAATTCCTGGAGATTTGGGATGGAGTTTAGGCAGGGGTCGTTTCATAGAAAAAGAGCTAGGGGAGCTCATTAGCATAACTCATTAGCATATCCGCCGGGATGGACTGGGGGGGCAAGCGGCGGACGGAGGCCCCAGGCCTCCGCCGCCGGGCTGGACTGGGGGCGGTGGGGTGGGGGGAACCGGCGGACGGAGCCTATCGGCTCCGTTCGCCGCTGGGCTGAAAGCGGCCCTTAGTCTATGTGGGGAAGATGGCCGCTCAGAAGATGCTGGCTCCGATGACTGGCTCCCTCCCCTCCCAGCCACCCAGCCAATTGCAGGGCAGGTTGTCTGAGGGAGCCAGTCATTGGAGGCAGGTCTTCTGAGTGGCATATTTTCCGCCCATACACTAACGGGGCACATTTTAGAATTCTGGCACCCAAAACTCCTTTATAATAAAGGAGAGATTCCAAATCAGGGCTGTATCTAGGTTTTGAGGGACTCAGGGCAGAGAGCTCTCATGGCTTCCCCTGTGGCTGTGAGCATGGTGGGGCACTAGCAAATGAGTGAGTGGTGGGGTCGACAGCAGTGAGCCCTGCCAGAAGCTGTTCTGGAGATACTCAGGCAAAAACTGTATATACTTAGCTTGTTATTGCTGTTTGGCCTTTGTATATGTCAAAACACCTTCATTAAGTTGTATACTAATTTGCTGTTCTCCTATGTACAGGCATCTGTCTATATATATGAATTGTTAACTTCCACTTCAATGTATCTGAGGAAGTGGGCGTGCACATGAAACCTCATATCTTGAATAAAACTTTGTTCCCCACATCAGTTACTGTGTTATCTGGAGTTGGATAGTATTTTGTAAGAAGCATTTTCTCTTTCTTTCTTTATTGGGCTACTCATTAAGGACTGTAACAATGCTTCATTAGAGCTCGGCATGAATCTTAGGACTGCATATCAGAAAATTCCCTGACTCCTCCACCAATGGTTAGGATAACGTTTAAGGGGGCCTCTCTGAGAACTGGCACAAAATCCTGAGGATCTCACTTTTTAGGGGGAAAAGCAAGCATTAATCCTTACGGTTGCAGAACTTATAACAGCACTCTCTGTACAAGACTACAGGTTAATGGTACTTCTGTGTTGTGAATGGAATATTGATATAAGAAATCAAGGCATACAGAGGAGGAGGGGAGCTAGAGTGCTACCCCCCACCATGACCCAGTGTGCTGGCCCCTTCTCCTATGTGCATTCCCTGTATGTGAGCAAAGTGCCTACACATATGCAAACTGTACATCAGTAGATCCCATTTCCATGATCAGGAGTGATAAGGAATAAATGTCCCCGTCATGGGGATGGAGCATACATGTGTATTGTTTGTACATGCACAAGCATTGTGCTCACATTTGAGCAAGTGTACATAAGAGTGTTAGGGCCAACACACTGGTCATAAGAACAAAGCTTGAGTCCAGTGGCACCTTCAAGACCAACAAAGTTTTATTTCAGTTTAGAATGAATAAATACAGAGTCTACCAAAAAAAAACCAACCCTAGAATATCATGCTCATAATAAGACAAGCGCACTGAAAGCATATATGCCATATACATAGCATTACATCCTGTATCCCAAGTAAAATCTGTGCTGAATACTTAGTGCAGTATTTAACTTTCATACAAACAAGCTCCTTGTACCCCTCCCCAATGGTTCAGCATATTCTCTGAACTTTTAGTAGCTATTTAAAGAGCTGAAAACTCTTGAAATGGTGCACAACTAGAAAGATCAGAAATTGAATATGAATAATTTTATACAAAACTGCAGAAATGCATTGTATGCAGAAGGCCACATGCATCAGCATAGCATTTGAAAAGACCATTCCTTGGAAAGATCTTGTTGCAGAGTTTAGGTGTCTGGAAACAACATCTGCTGAATCTAGAACTTCAAGAAGTAGTAAATCTGTGTCTGAGCTGAACTACTTCTGATGGAAAGTGAGGACTCACATGACTGAACGTTCACACAGGCAAAAATAAATTGCTATACATAAAAAAGCTAGCATTTCATGGAGAAGACTATGCTAGAACCCTTCTTTCTTAAACCCAGTTTTTGATGCAGAGGGATTACCTTTTGTTTGTAAGGACATTAATTCAGGTGAACCAGCACTTGTAGTCTATAGTGGTACAACCCAGAGACACAGGTGTACTGCCTGAGAGAAAACTAGGTACACAAGATAACAGGAAATGTCAACTGTCAGCTGATGACAACCATATTTAGGAAAGTGAAAGAGGACTATAGGACTGTGCTTTTTCTTTGCAGCTGTTTACCTATGCAAGATACACAAAACCATGTGTGTTGGTTCTGTATCTGAGATGGGGCTGTAGATATTCTATTGTCCAGTGGGGCCCATGGCTCAGTGATAGAGCATCTGCTTTGTATGCAGAAGGCCACATGTTCAATCCCTGGCATCACCAGCTAAAAGGACCAGGCAGCAGGTGATGTGAAAGACCTCAGCCTGAGACCCTGGAGAGCCGCTACATGTCTGAGTAGGCAATACTGACTTTAATGGACCAGTGACCTGATTCGGTATAAGGCAGCTTCAGGTAGGTTCAGTAATCCCTGTCAAAGGAGTGACAGTCTCCAAAGATACCCGAGTCTCGCACTCAAAGGGCAATAAGGCTGGCAGGTTAAGATTTCTGGCACTGCTTCTGTGATCGACTTGACATGTTAGCAGTATCCCTTTCTCTAACAGAGGTTCTCCATGGCTCTGCTCGTCTCTTTGGAAGCTCACTGCATGGGGCAGTGATGGACTCCAAGCAACAATTGTGGGTGGAGCTAATGGGATGGGGACCTCTCCATCCTTGTGGCAGGAGAAGTCATGGTGACAGGAGACCAGCTCGTTGCTCAAGTTGACTCTCTTAGCGGTGGAGCTTTTGGCAGCCCAGCAAGGGAGGTAAGGACAGCCTAGAAGACTGCTGAATGCTCGCCGGAAGTCTGCATTAAACGCATAGATTACCGGGTTGATGGACGAGTTGGCCCAGCCAAACCATGTGAAGACATTGAAAGTCGTTTGGCTGATGCAAGAGAGCTGCCCAGGGCTCCTGCTGCCTGTCGCTGGCTCACAAAAAGGCAACAGACAGTTGAGCAGGAAGAAGGGCAGCCAGCAGCAGACAAAGACCCCCACGATGACCGACAAAGTCTGGAGCACCTTGGTTTCCTTGTGCAGTGAACTCCTCAAAGCAGTGGAGGGCCCTTTGCCCTGAGCTGAGCACAGCCCCCCAGCTCTTTCCAGAGAAGAGATCTGACGGATCTGAGCCTGAGCGATGCGGTAGATCCGGGTGTAGGTACCAATCATGATGGCCACCGGGATGTAGAAGCTGATCAGGGAGGAAGTGATGGCATAGGTGGGGTTCAGACTAGCGTCGCAGAGGTGGAGCCCTTCTCTGGGCTTCTCTTGACCCCCCGGTGCCTCAGCTTTATGCCAGTGGAGCTGGACGGGGATGAAAGAAATGAGGACGGAGAGAGTCCAGGCGAGGGCAATCATGGCAGAGGCGAGGCACCGGGTCATGCGCCGCTCGTAGCGGAAGGGGCTGGCGATGGCCCAGTAGCGATCCAGGCTGATGATGCAGAGGTGAAGGATGGAAGCCGTGGAGCACATGATGTCGAAGGCCACCCAGGTGTCACAGAAGCGGCTGCCAAAGAGCCACAGGCCGCCCGCCACCTCCGTGACCGCCTTCCAGGGCATCACCAGCAGTGCCACGCAAAGGTCGGACACGGCCAGCGACAGCACAAACCAGTTGGTGACCTTGGAGCGCAAGTGGTGGAAGCGGAGGATGGCCAGGCACACCAGGGCGTTGCCCACCAGGGTACCCAGCACCAGCAGGGCCAGCAAGCACCCGGCCAGCACCTTCCAGCCGCCTCCCGCGCCCTGCGCCTCGAAGGACCCCTGGCTACTGTTGGAAGCGTTCTCCATTAGAGGGCGCCCATGCGTGCCCGGCGGCAGCCGCTAGCCGGTCCGTCTGCCTTCCCCGCCCGAAGCCAACCGAGCCCTGCGGCCGCCCCAGCCTGCCAGGGTCTTTGCCCCCCGACTCCACCAGGCGCCGTTTGGGTGCGCGCCATCCGCGGCGCGGGAAGGGCGTCTCCGAGCGCTTTTCGGCCCCAGTCTCCCCGGGTTGGATCCGGCTGCCCGGAGGCTGCGCGGGGACTCCGTTATTCGCTCGACTCCGTGGCCAAAGTTTCCAAAGCGATCGGTCGCTTGCCGCCTTCGACGGAAAAGAGAGGGGGGAGGCTTCGGCTTGCAGCGAGCGCGCGGCCGACAGACGATGCCTCCGAAGCCCGGACGGCGCTGATTTGGCTCTCTTTCCCGGCGACCAGCTGCAGAGGGGGTCCGCGAAGGAAGCACGTGAGGAGGAGCGACGCCAGGCGCGCGCGGGCGGGGTGTGTGTGTGTGCTTTCCGCGGGGGGTCGCCGCCGTCGAGGGGCAGGTGGGACCCTCGCCCTCCTCTCCCTTTGCGCGCCTCGCCAGAGGATCTAGCTGCGAATGAGGGGGTGGGATGGACCGCCCTCCCCGCTGGGCTGCATGGGATGGAGTCCGCCTCGGCAGACTCCTTCACAGGGGACAAACAGCGACCGAGCCCCCTTTCTGCAAATGGGAAAGCAGCGCGGCAGGGACAGAGCTTCTGCACCTCCTGTTTGCTTGCAGTGTTGGTTTGCTTTTGGCTGGGAGTTTCCGGCAGAGGGGAGCCCGGCAAAATGAGAAGCTCCCTGATCCTCCACCTGCTTCCATTCGACCTCCTTCTCCCGACTGGGCAAACCAAAGCTGGTTCTGCTGCCATTCTACATCACACTTCCTTGGGTTGTGAGTGCTGGAGTGGGCGACACATCCTGCCTGGACCTTGGGGGATACTGCATCACTCTTAAGTGTGTGTAGGTGTTATCTCCTTGAATGGGATGCCTCTTTCTGTCCTGGGAATAAGAATTAATAATTACCTATGGCACCGTGTGTAGTAAAGCCAGGAGATCCTAAGATTGTCTGGCAGTCTAAAGTTCTAGCTGTTTGGCATTATGCATCACTAGGTGGAGAGCTAGACTTGTTTGGGGGACTGAGTGATAGAGCTGTGACTGACCTAAGGTCACCCAGCTGGCTTCATGTGGAGGAGTGCGGAATCGAACCCGGTTCTCCTCATACTCCCGCACACATGATGCCAGACAAGCTGGCCATTTGTGATAAGGGAAAGTACTTTTTGGTTTAGGCTTCTTTGTCTTCTTTTGACTGCAACCTGAATGTGAACTGGATCTACTTGAATAAATGTAAGTTTACCTTTTTTGCAATATACTTCTTGGGAGATTTATTTACTGTCCTCAGTATCACGCTTCTATGACTGGACAAAACTCTACTATATTAACCAAATATCCCAATAGTAACTGCCACTGTAAGTCAGAGTCAGGCAGCTAGAGGTGCTAGAGCTAAAAAATACCTGCAAAGGCTACCAGCAGGAGGCAGGTATCTGTGGGCCCTGCAGAAGTCTGGTATTCCCTCTCCCCTGCATCCCACCGTTTAGCCTCAGTCAGGAAAAAAGCTTATTTCAAAATTGACATCAGTAGATGGTATCAGGATGTGAGCTTGCCTCCTGGGCTGTGCCCCTGAGCTGTGTGCCATCTCTCCCGCCCCTGCAAAATAGATCTGCCTGTCTACAGCCATGCCACCAGTTACGCAGCTGACCTGGAATAGGGTTACCCCATTTTTCTCTAGCAGGGTGTCTGTGTTTTTAACAGCTGCATAGCAGGCTGAAATTCTACCGGTGTAGCATTCCCTAGTTTAGTAAATTGCTTTACTTGTTGGGCTTGTACGCAGGTGTTAATTGCCAGTGAGGAGGTTGTAATCCTACCAGAAAGCTAGCCTTTACTTCTAATTCAAAACTGGGGATGGGGGGGGGGAGTTTGTTGCATGATCTTAGTGTACAGTTAACTTGCCTTGCTCCTTGGGAACGGAGCAATGGCTGAACAAATAAGCAAATAAAGTGATTCTTGGTTATTGAATGTGGGAATGTACTCTTGTGTATTGCACCCATAATTTCAAGTCTGGCTCCTTTTACAACATGGAAATAAACTGAAGCTGTTTTCCTTTCTCAGTCAGCATCCATGGAGCAGGGATACACATGGAGCCAGGGATACACATGGAGCATGCCCCCCCCCTTTCCTAGCCTCAGCCCCCATGTGGCTGCCATTCCTCCCCAGGCCACTAGCAGGTTTTTTCAGGCTTTTAAAAAATTCAGCAATTGACATCTGGCAACATCATTATAGCAGAATGATCTACCAGCTAGGTACTTTGAATTCCCATCTTTCTTTTTACAGCAAGTCTATGGCCCATTTTGTTATGGATATATATGGGGAAAGGCATATTTCTGCAGTAAAAAGGGCTAGAGATTTACTTTTTCATTTTAAATGAAAGCTGGGAATTTAGTGGACCTGGTAGATAGGTCGTTACAATACTACAGTGTCTGAAAAAGGCTTCTGGTGGTGGTGGGGAATGGTGGCTGCAGGTGAACAAATGCAGTGAAAATCTAGGCAGGACATGCTTTGATTGGGATAGAGTGGGTCTGTGAATATCATAAAATATCACAGCAAACCAAGTTTGGGAGACATTGTACCAAAACAAGGGGAGAAACAGATATTGGACTATAAGAAGACAACATCATGTGGATATTCTGCAAAAAAAAAAAAGTTCTTATCTGGACAAAGCCTCTGTGTGGAAGCAGCAATGTGTATTATTTTTACATGGATCTCGATACAGCTGTGGCTCTAGAATTTGAATAGTGTCCCAATCTTACAAGTTAAGTGGATAAATCTTGTAGCTTCATGAAGCCATTCTGACCACATTTAGAAAAAAAATCATTCTCAGACTTTTTGAAAAACAGGACTGCTGCATCATGGTATATGGATCTGATTACTGAACCACATCACCACTAACATTACTGATAATATAAGCAGAGATGGAAACCTGGAGGAAGAGTGGGGAATGGAAAATGTGAGAACAAATCACTCCAATGTTATGACTCCTCAAAGGAAAGCTTCTGTGGAAAAGCGTTTTACTTTGCAATCCTGTGGAGAATCACACCCATCTAAGCCCGTTGCTTTAGAAGGATGTAACTCGACATAGGATTGCACTGTTTGTCACACCACATATGGCTATAGAGATTTTCATGCACGACAGCCATTGCTGTGTGGGAGGATCTTCTGTGTTTCAGATAGTCAGTGCGGATCACCTGCTGTGGAGGGAAGAAGTAGCAAAAGGCCGTCCTCCACTTCCAAGTAGGTGTTATCAAAAAAATGACAGCCTGCTAAGTTCAGAGATCAAGGCCCTACTTTGAACCGAGTGGAGAGATCTGTGCACAATTAAGCATATACAGATCCCTGGATGGGGCCACTAGCTTGTCATATGCCACCTCTTGCTAGCTTTATGTCTGTCCTTTTAGAACAACTGGCCGGAGCACAGTATTCAGAAAGTATTTGCAAGGCTACCATTGAATGAAAAATCATTGTACTAAAACAATGAAATGGGTGTCAGAACTAGCTTTTGTGTTCATTGTATACAGGCATTTTACAGCTAGTAACAGCAAGTTTCCTCATTGCTCAGTTCAAGTAAATCTGGTCACAAAGGTCTGCTTGCAGTCAGGGAGCATCTACTTGACCTTCTCTGACCTGTTGTTGCAAGGCTTCTATAGCTCATGCCCATACCATTTCCCAGGGACGCTTGAACAGGGCTGATGTGGCGCCAGCAGTGATGAATCCAGTCATCCTCCCAGCTCGGCAGCACATCACCCTCCTGCTGGTGCGACACTACCATGAACAGGTCCGTCACCAAGGTCGGCATCTCACAGAAGGAGCCGTCAGGGCAGCAGGCCTGTGGATCATCGGATCGAAGAGATGGATTGCCGCCGTACTTCGGAGATGTATACAGTGTCATAAGCTCAAAGGGCTCTAGCAGCAGCAGAAGATGGCCGATCTACCGCCAGACCGTCTCAGTACAGAGCCCCCCTTTACCAATGTAGGCCTTGACGTGTTCGGACCCTGGAGTGTGGTGACACGCAAAACTAGAGGAGGGCAGGCCAACAGCAAGCGTTGGGCCGTGCTCTTCACATGCCCGAGTATCCAAGCTGTTCACATTGAGATAATCGAGTCCATGGATACCTCCAGCTTCATAAATGCCCTTAGGAAGTTCCTTGCCATACGTGCTCCTCAGGTCAGATTGTGGCACAAACTTCGGAGGAGCATGCAGGGAGCTGGGAATACACAGAAGCACCAACCTTGCTCCCACACTTAGTGACTATCTGAGAGCCCAGAATTGTGCATGGATATTCAATCCTCCCCACACCTCACACATGGGAGGAGCATGGGAGCGCATGATAGGCATCGCACGCAGGATTCTAGATTCCATGCTGGCAGGAACACCTTCCCTCATGCACGCAAATGGGAAAAGGACAAGCCTAACCTGAAGGAAGGAGATGTCGTACTGCTGAGTGAGAAAGATGCACCCCGCAACTCGTGGCCCATAGGACTCATAGATCGGGCCTTGCCTGGCGAGGATGGACTGGTCCGCAAGATTGAAGACCATGTCATCACACGTGATGGCCCACAGGACCGCCCCGGCCGACCAAGACTTTCACCAGACCAGTCACTGATGTGGTCCTGCTCTGCACCAAAGAAGAACTTGAAGACTGAAGACTCAAGTTTTGCATGCCTTAATTCGGTTTGGAACATAGTTAGCAGTGTCGCATGCCAATTATGCATAGTTGTAGTTATCAGGCTTCATTAGCAATGCATGTGGGTAGTGGAGCCCGTAGGATTCCAGGCGGGGAGTGTGCTGCCCCCAGTGAGTGCTAACTGTAGGCAGTAGTAGTTTGGTAAAACTTCTGTGTATCTTTAAGAGTAGTTGCACCTGGGAATTGTAGTTCTCAGTTAGGGGTCCCAGCA